AAGAAGGTTAAGAGCAGTTTCCATTTTTTGTATTTTTTGCAACATATAGTATATACTATTCTACTTGGTTTTAATATCTAACTTAGGCTTAAGATATAGAATTCCTTTAAGTTCGTACAGACTACATAAATCATTACTAAGACAAATAGACAATTTAATTTTAGCCATTAAGTTCCAAACTTTATTTACTAAAAAATCAACTATTTCTAATCCTTTTTTTGTAGCCAAGTTAAGAACGTGAGTAGCATATCTATAATATAAAAATCTGATATTATTAAATTCAGTTTGCAATTTCTGTGCAATTAATCTTCTACAAACAACCATAGCAGACTCATTATCCATAGTAAGTACCAACACTTTATCTTGAATATTAAAATAGACAAGAAGATTATTAATAGTATCAGTTATATTTATTTCTATATGTCTATTGCTAAATAGAATAATATCTAAGAGAAAATGATATAATTGCCAATAAGTATCAATATAATGAATGATAATACCAAGAAATACTTCAAAATTTAAAGAGATTCACATATTAGCTATCAAAGAAATCTTTTCAGAAATTTTAAAAATGTTATTAAATATTTTACTATATTTATTTTTAAATTCCTCTATAATTTTTACTTTTATAGTTTGTCTTAAAAATATTGCATATTGGGGATCGAGAAAGTTAATAAACTCTTTAAAAAATTGATTATCAACAACAGTAAATGGCTATTGATCAATAATAATCTAGGTAGTCATGCAGGAGACTAAGGAAATATGGAAGCTGATCAACTAGCAAAAGAAGGAAAAAGGTCTTTAGTGCAATTAGATCTAAAAGCAGCTAAAAATGATGATATTAACTACGAAATATTATGAAGGTTAAATAAAATAGAAAATTCAATTAAATTATTTGTAACGAATCTATTAAAAAGATATAATGATACTGAATAGGCATACGCAAGGAAAAACAACTTGACAGAAGGCATTGAATACAATTAGAAAAAGCTATGGAAAAGGATAAAAAGACAAAGAGGAATAAACTCTCTCTCAATAAAAGATAGCAAAAATCTGATGATACAAGTCAAGTGTTTAAATAATGCTCTCCTGACTCTAGATGAACTAAAAAAGTGAAAGCCAGAATTATACAAAAGTAGTTTTTGCATACTTTGTTAAAAGAACTGCTCAGAAGACTTTGACTATATAATAAGCTGCTCAGCCTTACAAAAATTGTAGGAAGAAGTTGAAGAAGCAGTAATAAAAGGTATAAGAAAAATACAAGATAAAAAAAACCTCTTGCTGCGACAAAAAGAGATAGAAGAAATTCTCTTTCCACAAAGAAAAGAAGACTGCTACAAATAAAGAAAAGATCTAGTAATAGGTCTTGAGGAAAAAGAAGTAGTAGAAAGGCTGCAAGCATTAACAACAATAAAGAAAGAAACAAAGGAATGGATAGACAGTGCTCATTTTATTATGCAAAGAAGCTTCATAGAGGTTATATAGAGCTACTGATGTGAAAAAGTAAACAAGTAGGAAAAAAAAAGAGGAATTACGACTAAGGAAAAAAGAAGTAATTCAACAAGGAAAAAACAGGTAGTAAAGACCTAAACAGATGAAGAAAGGAAAAAGCTTTTGGTAGAAAGGAAAAAGGAGAGAGAAAAGAAAAAAGTTTGAATAAATGAAGTAGTAAATAAAGGAGTATTAGAAGTAATTAAAAAAGGAAAAAGGAAGTAGTAGAGTTTTCTTTAAACTAGTCAGACAATTTGTTCTAACCTTAAGGTTAGTGCGACAAGTCACACCTGAGTACTCTAGTAGTAGCTAGATGATGTCAGACTTAGAAAATTAGGTAGATTAGTAATTATATGTAACTTGGCTACAGCTACGGTTAACAACTTAATAAAGTTTATGATATGACTGTCAAAGGAAAAAAAAAAAAAAAGTAGAGAAAAGGTTTTTTTCTGATCTATTCTATCATATACTGGATATAGTTTGGTTAGTTTGTAGTCTGTAATTACTTGATTAGTATAATTAAAGAGTAAGAAGATTAGAAAATTAGTTATAGAATTTGGGATTTGAATTCTATATAGAGTCTTAGTAAGTGTAAGTATATAAATCGAGTCAAATATCTTTGACATATCTTGTAATAGGAGCTATACTTCTTTTTGTGTAGTGAGAGCATATTCAATTATAGATATAAGTTGAGATATTGGCTAAAGAATGAATTATTATAGAAATATCATATAGTTAAATGAGGAGAGAATCTCATATTTGTTAAAAATGTTAGATAGCCTATTAGTAATAATTTTAGTAAATATTTTTCTAGTATAGTTAATTAGTATAATGGGTCTTGTTGTATTTAGTTCAAATGTATATTGTGTTTTTTTTGAGATAGGCTATATGTTTGAATTTAGCTATTGTTTAGAAAGTTGTTCAAGTAGGAGGCATATATTAAATATCTTCAAAAGATAAGTAAGTACTGATGAAGAGAAATATTAAAGTATTTTATTAGAGATTATTAGAAGTTTAGTTGCTTTATGTTTAGAGACTTCATTTATTATAGAGAGAAGTTCTTCTATAGTAATAGTTTGAGTTAGCAAGTCATAAGTGCTAGAGTTAATTTTCTTTATAAGAGTATAATATCTTTTCTATTCTTCTCAGAGAGTATCATTTGTAGGATTTGATTTCATCTAGTTTTGAAAGTAAATACAAGTTGCTTCTTTGATTTGTTGTGATTCTGTGATCACTGAGTCATGAGTTATTATCTTTTCAAAGCTTATATAATCTTGTTGTTATTTTAGTATACTATTAATCATTTGGCTTGTATTGTCTTTAAAGTTTGTATATCTGTGATATATATAGTATTTAATTCATTCTAATTGTTTAAGATTCTTTTCTATATTACTACTTTTCCAAATTGTATTTTTAAGATTTTTAATTGTTGTTGTTGTGTGATAATAGAAGGAGTACTATATATTATTTATAATTTTCAAACTTAGTAATTGTTAGTTTAGAGTTAAATCAAAAGTTTTTGCTAATGAAGGTACTTTGGAGAGGTGTTTATTTAGAGCTGAGTTGAGAAATTCTATAGAGAGAAGAGGTAAACTAGAAGTTAAAAGATAATAATATTTGTTAATATATTTCAAAGTGAAATAAAGTTTTGATACTTTTAAAAAGAGTGCGAAGTATTGCTTAGATGTAGTATATATAATTAGAATTAGATAGTTAGCAACTTTAATAATATTAGAAAACTAAATATTTCAAAAATAGTTTAATAATTTAGTGTCTGAGATTATTTTTCTTTTAGTAGTAGTGATAGTAATTGATAAGTTTTATTAGAAAATTTTTCTCAGTTTTCTTTTGTTATTTTGTTATATAAGTATATTTCTGTTTTTTTTTTTTATTTCTTATTCTAAATAATATAAAGTTCATATGCCAGATTGTTGATATGATTATATGATTACTTTTTGTAATTTCTATAGCTTTAGTAAGAGTCAGAGTTTCAATATCTAATAAAATATCAGAAGAGATCTATATATTATCTATCTGAGAGTAAGAATTGTTTCAGTGCTAAATAGAGGTTATAATGTTGTAGAAATTAAGTAGACTAAAAAGTTGTTTATTAAAAGGTCTGTAAAAATTATATTCTTTATTCTTTTTTTAGTAAAGTTGTTAGAATTGAAATCACCTAGAATAATAGTATATCAGTTTCTGTTTTTTGCTTCAATAAACTAAAGTGAGATATGAGTTTAAGTTCAGTTTGATAAGTCAGAGTTATTAGATGAAAGGTATACTGAAATTATATGAGTTTTGTTACTTGGAAAGAAGAAATCTAAGCAGAAGACTGTCTCAAAAAAAGTAATGATATTATATATATATGGTAGAACTGTATTATATACTATAAGTACTATTTTAAGGCTTGAGACTTATTGTTAGTCTAATGCAGGAGTATAATTAGAAGTAAAGAATTTGTAAGCTAGATTAATTAGTAATAGTTGAGAAGATTCTTTTAATTTTATTTCAGTAATAGAGATAATATAGAGATTATTCTGCAAGCAATATATTATCTATTATTAACATTTAATTTGATTGTTAAATCTTCTGATATTATGAGTTGTAAAGTTAATTTTTTTTTTAATATTTGAGATGTTGTTTGTTATTATATTTTGGTGAGGTATATTAGTTGTTTGATATATAGTTTGTTGGTAGCTTGTTGATAGTAGATTATTAGTAGAGGTTGAGTATGAGTTAAAATCTTCTGTTATAGTTTTATTGTTCATTATTATATATGTTAGAATTATTTCTATGTCTTCATCATATGTATTTAGTATTATTGTTTAGTATAGAAAAAATATTCTAAGTTGGTTCTAGAAGATCTGGAAGATTGAAGATATATGTTAGAATATTAATAAATATGAAGTTTTTACTAATTAGTTTTATTGTATCTTCTACTTTTTTATGATTAGTAATAGGAAATATGAGCTTATTATTAGAAATCTTTAGAGTAAGCAGATCTTTAAATTATTCGATCATTGAAGATAGTGTGGCATAAGTATTGTTTTTAGGTTTATTGTTTTTTTTTTCTTTTTTCTTAATATTGATCTAACTATTTAGAATGTTTTAAAAATAGTAGTATATTCAAAGATCTTTAATTGCAATTAATAATTGTTGAGGAGTTGTAATAGGAATAGTAAGGTTTACTAGTTCTAACTGTTTATAGTTCTATAGTAGGTTAGGCTTATCTATAGAATTAACTAATATATATATTAATAAAAAAGCTACAGGAATTGCATATGTTAGTAGAATTTCATTTATAAATACATGTACTATATATTTGTCTTCTATAGGAAATTAGTAGTTATTTCATAGTTGTAACTTGTTTGGATTAGTAGGTAAGTGATGCTTTTAGATAATAAAATCATTTAGCAGATAGTTGAATGAATAGCTTTTTTTTAGTAGTTTAATATAATTTCTAAAGTCTTTTGTAATATATAGTAGAAATAAAAATATTTTGTGCAAGTATAGTATGAGTTTTTGTAAAGTACAAAGGAGTAATAGTTTAGGTCTATATAGTTCAAAGTATATATCAGGTATTCTTTTGAATATGTAGAGAGTTTGGAGTTTATCCTTATATTAGAATAAATTCTTAAGTTCTAAATATGTGGTAATAGGGAATAGGTCTCTGATTGATTCATATAATTCTCATAGTATATCTGAAAAAAGGAGACAATTATTATCAAAGTATGAGTTAGAAAGGTTAGTAAGTTTAAAGATATATTATAAGGTACAGGCTATTAAATCAGTTTGTCTTTTGTTTTTTATAGAGAGTTAGAATAGTAGTATTTTTTTTATTTACTAGCTTA